TGATTACCCAATTATAATTTTCTTACAAAAATACAGCCAGCATCCAAGATGGTCACCATGCCAGCCCATACTGAGGGACCCCTACATCATACACAGTGACTGCTCTCTGTAATGCACACTATGGGGTGACCATGCTACAGCAGCTTCCCCAGGTATATCCTGCTTTACGTAAATAGGGATTGAATGATCTGACCTCCTCACACAGACTTGAAACGTGATTGCTCCAAAAATAGACAGCAAGGCATCCATGGTGCAGTCAGCATTCCATTCATGTGTTCACCCCGCACACCAACATAGCGCTGACATGTGGCAATGAACTTTTAAAGTGACACTGAACTCAAAAGGTTTAAAACCTGCCATGTTATAGGGAAAATTTAGAAATGATTTTACCCAAGCAGGACCCTAAAAGTAGCTTTAAAAATTTCACCAGTGAGCATAACCGGACTATAGCCTTGCAATTTATGTTAACAATTTTTAGGGACAGATAGAGCTTTCTTTTGGGAGGTATATAATCACCACTGAGGGGGTTATTTTTTTACTATATAAATGAAAAAAGTACAGTAAATAAAGAAAAAAAACAAAAAAGTTTCCCTACGGTATGTTATAAAATATTTATTCTTACCCATATTTTTGGTAAAATATAAAAGACGGGGTCACGTCGGGTAAATAGACACCAAACATGTCAAGCCTTAAAATTGCGCGCGCCTGCAAAGTTGCAAAAAACGACCACACTGAAAATTGGCCATAGGCGACGCTTAAAACGTTTTTATTGCTCATCAGTTTAGTCTTTTTCACACTTAGGTGCACCCGACGCATATCTGCGTGTGTATGTGGGGGAAACTTTTTTATGCTTTATTTTTTTTTTATGCTTCTTTAATTTGTGTATTACTTTTTTTTTTCCTTCACAACTTTATTGCTATTACATGGGGGGCTAAGAAGCACCCTATGTGATAGCCAATTTACATGACAGGTCCTCTTTATGGAGACATCAGGGGTCTCAAGACCCCTAATGTCACCTAGGGACCCCCAGAGAAGCTGATGAAGCAGAGATCAGCTTCATCAACTTCTGTAGCTGGAGAGTGACAGTGAATGCAGGAAGTGATGTAACATACATCACTTCCTGCATTTGGGGACTGAGAGGAGATCGTGTACCGAACTCCCTTTGATCTCCTGTCACAGAGCAGCCATGCCGGTCCCGGCCGCATCAGGCACAGCCGATCTCGGGACCGGCAGTGACAAGTACTGCTAATACGTGTGCGTCTATCTATCTCTAGAGATATCCATCTATCTTTAGAGATAGATATCTTAAACCTACACAGTCTGGACAGAAGAATCTCCCACTGTGGCTATGGTATTCCGAAAGCCAGCGGCTACTGTTGTCAGAACATATAACAGTGACTGCAGCTGATTGGCTGAGTATTTTCTGTGCCGGCTCCTTCGATTTCCATATTACAGAATGTCTGGCTGGAGGCGGCTCTCAGGGGCACCCACCAAGCTAATTTCATCTGGTTCATTAGGAAACAGCCAAAATTTGCCCCTTGTATGGCCAGCTTAGGTCTCTGCGTCCTCCGATTGCTAGTGTCAGGAGATGTGAGAGTTGTAGATATGACTATAGTACTGCTCACCGTTCTACTTGCCTATTCCAAGATGGCAGTCTACGTTCAGTGCAGACACAAGGCATGGTAAGTCACCACTGGGGAAAAGATCAGAGAGACCACATGAAATACTGCCGACTAGTCCTCTGCCTTCGTCTTTCCTTTGTTTTGGCAGAGCTTCAAGGAGTTCCACTTTAAAAAGGAGAACTGTGAGGTGAGTGATTTTCCCTCATCCTCATAGTTAGAGCCGACGAGTGACAATGAGACTGTTACAAGTCAGCTCAAAAGATCGGGAAGTGAGTGAACACATACCGTCGCTCACACACTTCTCAATCAGCTCCCTGCAGAGAGCCGTGACTGTCAGTCACAGCTCCCCGCAGCGATCCCCCACCCCTCCGATTCTACAGCGCTGACTGGAGAAATTAACCGCGAAGGGGGCAGGCACAGCAGTCTCTGCCTCTAGATCGGCAGAACCCGCTGTCACTCACACAGCTGGGTGGATCCAGACAGTAATATTGGGATCTGTCCCTGCTGCGGCACTGTCAGTATATTGCGGGCAATAGCTCACTATATACTGAGCTTTGGGTCACGGGGGGAGGTTAGTATATGTCCTCTCTTGACCCTTAACCAGTTGACATCTGGGGTGTTAAACCCCCTTCCCATCCAGGCCATTTTTCAGTATTCAGCGCTGCGGTACTTTGACTGACATTTATTCCGTCATGCAGCGCTGTATTGAAATGAATTTTATACCCTTTTTTGGGGACACATAGAGCTTTATTTTGGTGGTATTTATTCACCACTGGGGTTTTTATTTTTTAATATATTAGGGAAAAACTACAGATTTTTTTTTTGTCCTCCTGTGACCCTAAAGACAACTATGGGATAAAAAGGTTACCCCATAGTTCTCTTTTAACTAGAGCTGCAGCTAACGATTATTTTCAAAATCGATTAGTTAGCCGATTATTAAGTTCGATTAATCGGTTAATCGGATAAACACAAAAAAAGAAGAGGTGCGGCGCGCAGCTTGTGTGGAGCCGTGAACAGGGCCAACTGATCGGAAGCCGATTAATCGATTATTGAAAAAGTTGACAACTTTTTCAATAATCGATTATAATCGATTATGTCGATTAGTTGTTGCAGCCCTACTTTTAACTACAACTCAATGGAGTATTCAGACCTGGAGCTTAAAAGGGTTGCTAAACCCTCCGGGTTTTTTGCATATATCTACTGCTAGCAAGCAGTAGATATATGCAAAAAGTAAAAAACAACAAAACGCTTTAATAGCAGTTTAAACCCGTCTTCGCCGTGCTCTCCCGTCCGAAAATCCGAAACTGCTCTGACCGCCGCAAAGCATCTTGGGGCGGGCGTATGCGCAGTTCGAATTTTCGGTCGGGAGACGAGGAGAGACGCAAGGTAAGTCTATGGACGCGTGCACCCGCATGCAGACAACGCGGGATCGGAAGTGCCTGCAAGGACAGAGGAGTCAGCGCTGGATCGGAGAGCCGCCGCAGCGCTGGAGGGACAGATGAAAACATCAGGAAAGAAGAAGATCGGATTAAGAGACATCATGTAAGGTAAGTGCTAGCATTATCATTGCCTTTGATGTCACTTTAAAGGGGAACTATGAGGAGACATTTCTGCTAATACAGAAAGCAAGCTGCCAGCAGGTATAAAATACAGGAATCTAGAGCCGCCTGTCCATACCTGCGGCAGCCCTCCCCGCCCTCTGCTGGAATGCCAGGCTGCTCTGAACCGACAAAAATCTTGGGGCCCTTTCACATGGGCGCTGTCTGTTCCAATCAGCAGGGGATTTGTGCACGGATCTCCTGCTAATCGGATCAGTACAGAAGTTCAGTCTTCTCCTCCATCTTGTAATAGAGGAATAAACTGATCTAACCGACCCATGTTAGGTCTATGGCAGGGGTGGGCAACTCTAGCCCTCTGGCTGTTATGGAACTACAAGTCCCATGGGGCATTGCAAGATTGACAGTTGCAGGCATGACTCCTAGAGGCAGAGACATGGGATTTGTGGTTAAAGCACAGCTGGAATCACCCACCCCTGGTCTATTGGAGATATAAGCAGACCTGAGTCGATCCGTCACCATCAGGTCCGCCAAAACGCACCTAGACGGAGTCGGGGGTAATCAGATGTGCATCCGCTAATATCCATCTGCCCATAGAATATCAAACGGGCTTCTGATCAGATCCGCCTAATAAACAGGCAGGAGAAAGGACCTGATGGGACCACCCGTGTGAAAGGGGCCTTCAGATCACGTCAGAGCTTCCCCGCTTCCTCTCATCCCCCTCATCCCTAACACCCCATCAATATGGTGCACTGTCTACGGTACCCCTGGACACTCTGCACAGGTTTAGTCAATGCATAACCTGGAACGGACACCATGGAAGTGAGGAAAGGGACCCGGAACTGAGAAGGTGAAGGTTTGTCATCTCAAAGACTTCATCTTAACTGCACTTACACTGGCCCCGAAAAATGTACTTCATGTCTTGAAAAATAAAACAAAAAAAAAAAACCGCATTGCACTTCCTGTGCCTGGGCACCCCTGCACCTTGAATCCGTCTATCTGCTGTGTGAGGTCATCTAAAGGCACTGCTGCCTGTGACTGTTGGCCTCCCCAGATTTGGTGGTCACCACTTTGCTACTCATTGTTCTCCTTGCTGGAGGGAAAGCTGTAACCAAGGACCATAGTGCATGGATCTCCCACGGGAGTTATGTCACCCCGGCCGGGCCATTCAAGATAGACAAATACCCCGCAGCCGGGGAGAAGATGTCGGCACCGGCGAGGGAGCGCACAGAGGTCGCATCGCTGGAGCAGCCTGGAGTAACCGGTTGTCACTTGTTTGCCCATCCCCCCCCCGCTATTATCACCTATCACCAGAACAACATAGTAACCTGTTCTCCTGCCATCCCCATCACACCTGTTGCCCTCCTCTATCGCCATGGAAATAGAACACAGTAACCTGTGCTGTCACCCCCCATCACACCTGCTTCCCTCACCTATTACCCTGGCAACAGCATAAATTAACCTGTTCGCCTGCCATCCCCATCACACCTGCAGTTCTCACCTATCTTTATGGTAACAATGCACAGTAACCTGTTAGCCCCCCATTACACCTACTGCACTCACCTATAACCATGGTTACAATGCACAGTAACCTGTCTGCCTATCAGCCCCACATCACACTTGCTGCCCTCACCTATCACCATGGTAAGAGAGCACAGTCCTATTAATCCCCAATTACACCTGCTGCCCTCACCTATCACCATGGTAACAGGACACAGTAACCCGTCAGCCCCCCATCACACCTGTTGCTCTCACCAATTACCATGGTAACAGAACACAGTAACCTGCCCTCCTGCCCCCCAATCACACCTGCTGCTCTTACCTATTACCATCGTCTCATCCGGGATCTCCTCAATGAAGCAACGTTTCTCCGTCTCCCCGATATGGAAGTACAGGCCCCGGGACAGACCGAGCTGCAACAACAGCACCATCAGCGGGAGCATCAGCGCGGATCGGAGGGACCCGCAGCCCGGGGCAAGGGGAGACATGACGGCCAGGTAGCCACAGAACAGACCTGTGTGTGCGCAGTACCGCCTTCTTGCGTGTCAGGCCTCCACCTGGGGAACGACGGCCCTCACAGATTGGCTGGGGAGCCCAGAGAGGCGGGGCTTAGCGTACTGTCAGAGCGAGGCTTGGCTTAGCACAGCTGCAACGTCACCATTCGCTGGAAGGAAACGTCACTCTTGGGCGGCCATGTTGGATCTTGCCGGGTGGTGACGTCACTGGTCACGCTCGAGCAGGATCTTCTCTGTCCTGTTCACTGTTATCAAAATTAGACAACAATATGGTTTTTAGGACCCATGTCGCCTCTGCTGATCTTATGAGGTGGAAAAAAAAGATGGTACATTGCTTTTCTTATATATGAGTTGGTGGAGCACTGTCGGAGCCCAGGAACAGCAGAAATCAAATCTGAAATCCATATTTTCGGCAGCAATACCCCCAAGGCAGGGCTCAAAATTTCAAGTCCTAAACTACTAGTCAGGCCTTAAGAGTTACTCGCCACCAGTTGCCCCACCTAACCCCAACCCTGCCTCGGCCTTAACTCCGCCCCTAAACCCCCCCTCTTAAATTATCTTATGAAATTACACTTTTAAATGTTAGTAGTCTGCAGCCTATGCAAAGGAACAAACAATATTAACAGGCAATCAGGTTTATATTTTGCCATCTTTGTTCCATTGGGGAGTTTTTCCTGCACTTCCTGTCCCATAGTCACAACAGGAAGTGAAAGGAAGTCCCCGCTAACAGGGAAATCCCTGGTGCTCAGCAGAGTCACCAGAACTAGTGGCCCCATTTAATGATTTCCCATCTATTCCTGTTCTGGTGACTACCCCAAATTTGGGATTTTCTTTCACTTCCAGTGATAATGGTTGCCAGCACAAATAGAGGGGTTGAATCTACCAAATGGGGACACAGATTTTATTCTACAGGGTCTCTGCTTTCATCAAATATCTAATTCTGGGGGGAGGGTTAACCACCTTAGTACCGGTGCAAATTCTTAATTTTTGCACACGCATAAAAATGTGACATTTTTGGATAGGAAGGCCCTGTAGAATACAAAATTGGTAGCTGCGTTTTGTTTGCACGATATTTATGCAAATGTTTATTAGAGGTGCACCAAAATGGAAATTTTAAAACCGAAACGAAACCGAAATAAAAAAATGTCAGGCCGAAACCGAAACCAAATATAGCGGTGCATCCCTAATGTTTATCAAATCGGTAAAGACGGGGTCACATTGAGTAAATAGATACCAAATATGTCAAGCGTTTAAATTGCGCACGCACGTGCAATGGTGAAAAACGACAGCACTCAAAATTTTCCATAGGTTACATAGTTACATAGTATTTGAGGTCGAATAAAGACATTAGTCCATCAAGTCCAACCTATTAGGATCTCATTCTAGGAGTACCCGTACCCCTGTATATTACGGTCCCTTAAGAAATCGTCCAAAAGTTTCTTGAACAATTCCACATTATTTGCTGAAATCACCGCCTGTGGCAGTGAGTTCCAGACCCTAACTGATCTTACTGTGAAGAACCCCCTTCGCCCCTTTTGCTGGAATTTTTTTTCCATCAATTTTAGGTGATGGCCTCTAGTTTTTGTAACGGAGTTAATTTTAAACAGTTTATCGCTAATGTTGCTACCACCATTAAACATTTTGTACATGGAAATCATATCCCCCCTTAATCTCCTCACCTCTAATGTGACGCTTTAAAAGCCTTTACTGCTCATCAGTTTAGAGTTGACGTGGAATGATGGCCCTGGAATTATTGTTCTCACTCTGACATTCACGGTGATACCTAACATGTGTGGTGCAATCGTTGTATACTTACACATGCATGCCCTACGTGCGCGTGTTTATTGACATGCAGATGGCGGGGGCGGCGGGCTGGTTTTATTTATTTATTTTTTATAGCACAGCATGCAGTGGCATCCATAGGTGGTTATTAGCAACCTCTGAACACAGCAAACTATCCGCCCTCATTTATCCACCTGAATGAGGCCTAAGTAGTGTTGCCACCCGTCCAGTTTTCACCCGGACAGTCCGGTTTTGGAGTCTTGAGTCTGGGTGTCCAGCCACCGAAACCGGCACTTTCAATTTTCTGACAGATGCGGCTGCCGAGGTCTTTGGCGAGCGCAATCTCGGGCAGCCGCATCGGCCTGAAACCAGATCTTCCTCTGAGCTTCGGGCAGCCTGTGCCTGTTTACAGGTGCCAACAGCTCAGAGGAAGATCCGGGTTTCAGGCCGATGCGGCTGCCCGAGATTGCGCTTGCTGTGTACCTCTGTGATCTGCATGCTCTGTGAGGGCATCTGTGATTGCTTCTCCTCCTCTGGCTCCCTGATACTGTGCTGCCCGCCTGCGGACCCCTGGTGAGACACCATAGCCCAGACAGCCCTGAGAGTCGCACAGCCCACCTCATAGTTGCATAGCTCACCTGAGTGTCGCACAGCCCACCTGAGTGTCACACAGCCCACCTGAGAGTCACACAGCCCACCTGAGAGTCACACAGCCCGTCTGAGTGTCACAAAGCCCACCTGAAAGCCACACAGCCCACCAGAGAGTCGCACAGCCCACCTGAGAGTCGCACAGCCCAGCTGAGAGTAGCACAGCCCACTTGAGAGTCACACAGCCCATCTGAAAGTCGCACAGCCCACCTGAATGCCGCACAGCCCACGTGAGAGTCACAGAGCCCATCTGAGTGCACGCACAGACCATCTGAAAGCCTGCACAGGCCACCTGAGTGACGCACAGCCCACGTGAGAGTCGCACAGCCCACCTGAGTGACGCACAGCCCACCTGAGTGTCGCACAGCCCATCTGAGTGCCTGCACAGCCCATCTGAGAGCCTGCACAGGCCACCTGGAGACGTCAGGTACATGGCTTCCCCCGCACATCCATGCCGTTTATTCACAGATCCATTCACAGGATTTAAGTCCCATCTTCCACTGTGGCAAAGGAACTCATAGTCACAACACCGCTCTTGTAGCCCATTGAAAACTTGCTCCAGCTCCATAACCGAAGGTCCAAACCTTGGTGCAGACCTGGGGCTGGAGGAAGAGCGCGCTTGAGCCTGAGCATTGCACTTGTGATCCGGTGATCGCTGTCGCAATGTTTTGCAGGCTCTAATGCAAAAAATGTATAAAGGTGCATTTTTTCTTTTTTGCATTATTGGTGCATTTATTCATTTTTTCGCAATTGGTTGGCTACACCCTTAAAGGCAAACTCCTGGATACATATTACCCTGGTCCAATGCTCCATCCCACACCCCACTATCTGATCCCTATCTGATGGATACAAAAAAAAATGTTAAAGGCCCTTTTAACTTACTTTGAGCCGCATTCACATGACGCCACAGTCCAGAGTTTTCTCCTCTTCTGTTTACTTCCTGCTTGGATTCTTTTCTAAGTGTCCATGTTGGCACCTGCATGATGCGGCCTATTGCTATTGAATGTCTGTTAGCCAGGGTTCTCTCAGGATCCAGAAGAGGACCGACGTCAATGGAGGGGAGTGAAGGGGACCAGCGGTCAAAGGCAACATCTCACCGCCGGGGAATATGTGAGTATATCTGATTTTAAAAGGTTATTCGGATAGGTCAGAGGTTGGTGGGGCAGGAAATAAGTACTTTTTGACTGGAGTTGGGCTTTAAAGTATATGTAATCTTCCGTTTAAGTCCCCTTGCCATGGTCTTCAAAAATTCCTTTATATCTTTGTCGTCTGGCTTTCACATCTTCTCTCTTCTGACCTTGCCACAGTAATTCTTGATGACTTTAATATCTCCTTGGATGACTTGCAATTCCCTGTTCCCCACTACCACTTCATTTGTTCTGTTAAAACATATGCAGTCCCAATGCAGACACCTCCGGTCCTTATTTTCTGAAGATTTTGCTTCTCACTGATGTAGTCTTAGCACTCTTCAATCTGCTTTATTACTCTGAGATCCCCAAAACATAAACCACAGTCTATTTTTAAACTTCCTTCCATCCAGCAACTTCTTACTTCCCAGTTGCCTCCTGGGACAATACAACACTGTCATCTGCCCTAGATATAGTTTAGCCCCCCCCCCCACCACCACCAAATTGCCAAGTCTTTACCCCACCAATCCTCAAACTTTCCTCGTCACATTAGAGTCTTTCCAAGTGTTGCCACTGTGGCGGAATGTGAATACAAAAATACAAATGAAAACTTCTTTAATCTAAAGCTGGGTTTACACAGTTAGAATTTGTTAAAAAAATGTTTTTGGGACATTCAATCGATTTTCTAATATAGTTAATGGGGTCAAATTGATGATCAATTTTTACTGGGCAGAGCAGAATGAGATATTTTTCTCAAATTAATAAAATTCTAACAGTGAATGTGTTTTTTTTTGTTTTTGGGAAGCTCTCTTCATTGCAAAATCAAATGAAGTTTTGAACGACAGTTGTTAAGTCTCTGATGGCATTATCGAATGTTCTGACGGGATTCCTTGTATGAACGTTTGTATGAAAATCTACCAGTGTATACTTTAAAGCTTTTCTCCATCACTTCAAAATCTTTTCTAACCCTTTGTCAAACCCTTCCGAAGTCTCTAAGCTTTGTCACCTCTTTCCTACAGTTAAGTATTTCTCTATCGTCCATTGAGGGACACCGCTCTGAAGAATTCTGAGACGTAGGTCATGCTGTTGCCTCTAGGAGAAATGGACATTAGGCAAACAAAAAAATTAAGTCTGTCACCTTAATAACCCTCTCACCCCGCAACCGCCAGTTTCGCTTAGTGTTTCTACTTTTTTAGTTTATTTTGTTTCTTTGGTGAAATTGAGGGCTTCTAGTTGGTCCATACTAGATAGAATTAAATCCTGGGAGTTTCCCTAGATAGTTGACTAGAATTAGAGATGCATAACAGATAAGTTAAATCCTCTGAGTTTCTCTAGTCCTCAGAACACAGGACATTTCTGATCTCAATAGTTAAAGGGACGCTAAACTCAGGAGTTAAATCGTAAAAATACAGCCAGAAGCTTACCCATCACAGCTGAATACAAGTTTCAAGCTGCAAAGATTGTAGCCCACATACCTAATTTCTCTCACTAAGCCCTG